GGGCGGGCGGCGCGGGGCCCTGCGCCAGGCTGCTGTCGGGCGCCAGCAGCCCCGTGGCCACGTCGGGGCCCGGCGGCGGCTGCGGGTACTTGTCGGCCAGGTCGAGGGCGAGCGGCACCGAGAGGCGGGAGCACTCGGACATGGCACGCCGCATGGCCTTGCGCTGCTGCGCCGCGCGGCCCGGCGCGCCCGCCGCCCAGCCCCACGGCTCCTCCGGCTCTTCCTCCAGCTCGGCGCCGTCCACGGGGCTGCCTCCGCCGCGGCCCTCGTCCTGCGCGAGCTCCACGGTGGTGGTGGGGAGCAGCGGCTTGGCGCCTTCCACCTTCCTCACGGTGCCGTTGCCGGAGCCATTGGGCGCTGCCGGCTGCGCACCGGGGCTGCCGGTGCCACCTCCCGGTGCCGCGGCCACGCTCTTGCTCTCGACGCCGGCCTTGCCGGCCGCCTTCTCCTGGTCGGTGACGGCTTCATCCTTGGCCAGCCCGGCGCACGCCTTGGGAGCCGCCGCCTGGCCCCAGTGGAAGTCGGAAGCTTTGGGGGCCGCGGAGCCGCCGTCGGCCGCGGGGAAGGTCTCACAGAGCAGGGACCACGTCTCAAGGTGACCCGCGGCCGCCTGGTACTTCTTGCCCTGCGCCTCCAGCTCCCGCTGCTCCTTGGGAGCCGCCTTCAGCTCCTTGCCCTCGAAGAAGCAGAGCTTGTCCTCGTCGGTGAAGCCGGCGCCCTTCACCAGCCCGTCCTTGCCGGGCCCCGCGGCGTTGACGCTGAGGCCGATCTCGTGCAGCTTGCCCTCGGTGCGCTGCCACTCGAAGGCACCGGCGCCCAGCTCCTTGGGCGCCTCCATGCGCGCCGCGGCGCCCGCCGGGCTGTACTGCCCCAGCGGCGCCGCCTGCTCGCCGGCCACGGACATGGCCCGAGTGCCGCCGCTGCCGGCGCCGCCGCGCCGAGGAGCCGCGCGCCGAGCCCGCTTGCGCGCCGCCCCTGACGCCACGCGGCCCCCGCGCCCCCCCGCAGCCGCCCGCGCGCGGGGGGGCTGCTCCGCGATGGATGCTCCGCGATGGATGCGCCGCCGTGGATGCTCCGCGGTGGATGCGCCGCCGTGGATGTGCTGCCGTGGATGCGCCGCCGTGGATGCGCCGCCGTGGATGCTTGCAGGGCTGCCGAGCCCCCGTGCGCGCCGCTTTTCCCTAGGGAATTGCGCCTCTCCGAGCGGAAATCTCGCCGCCTCCTCGGCTCCCTCGGCGGCGTTAACCCCTGCCGCGCCGGTGTGCGCAGCCGGAGCGGCCCCGCGGCCGCCGCCGTGACGGGGTTTCGCTCATCACTGGCCCACGGGCAGGGCCGAGCGCCCCAGGGGTGGCTCGGCGTTCCCCGTGGTGTCCCCTCTGCTCCTGCCGCCCCAGCAGGGTCACCGAGCCACCCATGCCCGCCCGGCTGTCCCTCGTGCCTGAGGAGCTTCGCGCTGCTCACACATCTGCTCGAGCCGGGTCTCGCCAAACCGCCAGCGCCTGCAGCGCCCACGGGTGCACGGCGCACATCTCCTCACCAGCACCATCCCTGCCTCGAGTCCCGAAAACCATTCCTGAAATTCACTCCCCGGCACCTGCAGGGACACTGTGACACTGGCCGAGCTGCAGAGCCCTCGGCACCTCGGACGCGGGATGCAGAACATCCTTCCAAGGCCAAGGCTGCCCTCGAGCCGGGCTTGCAGCGCAGCCCCGGGCGCCGGCCGGCACCGGCAGAGCCGCGCGCGCCGCGCCGTGCCGGCCATGCTCCGCGGGGACGCTGCGGGCCGCGCGCTTCCCCGCCTCTGTTGAAGTTCGCCATTTCAGAGGCTGCTATATTTAAAAACAATGACTAAGGAAGTGCAAATGATCCGGATCTCTCACGACAGCCTCTAATTAACCAGAACATTCCCACCCACGAGCCTCGCTCCTCCAAAGGCCTCAACAGCTCTCGTAGTTTAAATCCTCCTCGCTGTCTCGCTGGTGGGCTCAGCCAGGCCCTGGCCGTCCCTCCCGTGACGGAGCGGGGCTGACGGTTGCAAGCTCTTGCTCAGGGCAGTTAGTCGGGGCCGGAGCCGCGGGCAGCCCTGCGGTGCCCACGCGAGCCCGGGCGGCAGCTCCCGGCGCCCGGAGGTGACTCCGCTCCTGCTCCGCTCCCCGCGGCTCTCCCCGTGCTCCGGCTTCCTAAGGAAAGGAGTGTCTGGCCATGCAAGATTAGCAGGGAAGAGCGGGAGGGCGGATGGACTGGGGAGCAGAACAGGAGCGAGGAAGGGGCTCCGAAGGCCTCTGTGGCCGCTGCTCGCGCTCCTCCGGCGCCTCCGAGTGAGCGGCTCCTGCAGGAAGACGCTGGGAAGCAGCAGGCGCTGGAAGTGGGGCAGCCTGGCCGGTGTGTCATGCCACACCAGAGGCCTCAGCCGAGCGCTCCTGCTTTGGCTCGGCTCCCTGCGTTATTGCTTCTCCTTCCCTTTTTTCCCTGTCCTTTCTTCCCCTTGCTGTTTCCTGCATCCAGCAGCGTTGTTGCGGGGCAGCCCCTTGCGCCCGTTCCTAAGGCAACGCCGCTTCCCGGGATGAGGAGCGGCTCCCTGCCGGCGTCCCCGGCACGGCGCTCCCGGGATAACACGGGCTCAGGGATCCACCCAGCGCAACGCGGAGCTGCAACACTACCATTCCCAAGGCACGGAGCAAGGAGGAGCGTTCCCGCAAGGATGGAGCGGGCACGGGAGTGGAGCCGGGCAGCCCGATCCAGGCGGCGCCGCCGGCTGCTCCGCGCGGTGCCCCACGGCGCCGGGAGGGAAGCGCGACCCATGGCACCGCCGAGCTGCAAACCCAGCTGCTGCTTTAACAAAACCTCTGCTAAAACAGCAAAAGGAGCTCAATAAAGAGGAAAGAAGGGCAAAAATTGAGGGGATAACGGCGCGGTTCTCCCACTGCTTCACGAATCCGCCCGTCGCCGGCACGGGGTATCTGTGAGCGGCTGCTTCACCAACAGCACCGACAGGACAAGGGGCAGGAGCCGTTCTCAGCCTCCCTCTGTCCCCTATAGCTCCCTGGGGTGGTCAACAAGCCTCAATTAACGCACACGCCACAATATAGCGTCGTGCTGAGCGTTAATCCCCGCAGCAGGGCCAGCTGGCGCCTGCTCCGGCCGCGTCCGGCACCGCGGTGCCGCGGCTGCGCCTTGGGGTACCCCTTGTGCCAGGGCCGCACGCTGAAATAAACCAAAACGAGGCAAAAGGGGATCCCATTCAAGCCCAAAATTTAAAAGAAAAGCGAGAAAAAGGGAACACAGGCGCGTTGTGGTCAGGCAGGAGCTACACAAGCTGCTCGCGGCTCCGGCATCACAGTTGCCATGGCTCCTGTGGCCGCCGGCACGGCGCTTCAGCAGCGCTATTTACCTATATAAATACACTATTATTGCTATCAATATCTTACAAAGGTGTTTCCATTGATATCTTTATGCTATAGATAAACCTGCTGCTGCTCAGCCGGGCCGGGGAAGCGGCACCTCCGCACCCAGCCCCATCCCTCAGCTCCCCTGGCCCAGGGGGATTGCAGGGACTGAAGCAACCCAGTGTGATCCAGTGCTGCACAAACCCACGTTCTAATGCAGAGCATATACCCATATGTGTAGGGACAAGTACCCTTGCCCACGGGCAGCCTTTTGGCGAAGGCATGGAAGGGTTCGGCTCTTTTGCATGAGTCTTTTGCACGACTACCCAAGTATCGCCCCCTTCAACACAGTAGTCAGCAGGGGAAAAGACTTGGTAATGGAAAAGCTTTAGGAGGAAAAAAACAAGGGAAAAAGGAAAGGTCAGCCTTTAGCTTGCTGCGTTTTGCAGCATCATGCACAAGAGAACGTTACAGGCACAAGTTCATGCAGAGTGCACCACTCCCACCGAAATAGAAGCACTCGGGGTTATGCAACATGCATTAAAATCACAAAACCTCCCCGGACCTGGCGGCGTGGCGAGGCGCACGGAGCCCTGCGCTCGCCGCGGGAGCGGCTGCGGCATGCAGGCACGCAGCAGGGCTGCGGCATGCAGACACGCAGCAGGGCTGCGGCATGCAGACACGCAGCGAGGCTGCGGCATGCAGGCACGCACCGGGGCTGCGGCATGCAGGCACGCAGCAGGACACTCTGCAAGGGGCACCATGGCCCGCCGGAAAGGGGGACGAGGCAAAACAAGAGCTCCCAAAGCAGGGGCAGACGTGGCCGGCCCGTCTCAGCAACCCCGAGCTTCAGAGAGGAGGGAGCGAGCGGCTCTGAGGAAGGCTCAGAATGAGCAGAAGCCCACGGGTATTTTTCTTTTCAGGTTACCCTGTGTCCATGCTACATTCTCCACTTGAAATCCCTCTCAATTTCTGGCTCGTTCCCTATGGGAAAGGGGGCTTATTGCATGGACACAGCCACAGGAAACTCCCAAAGGTGACTGGTCCATCCGCGGAGTCAGTGGAGAGATGGAGTCTTAATATTATTGCTCCAGTTACCGTGTCATAACGGCTCTGCTCTAGTGAAGATTACTTCTCTGCAAGCGCTGGGGAGGAGACATGTTGTACAGAGAGAGCAGCTCAATGCAGCTTAGGACGAGAGTCACAGCCCAACCCCAGGAGGAAAAGGGGCCGGTTGCAATTAGCCTGGTGCAGTTTGAAACCCAGGCGCGCCGGGCCAGCACCTTTCCTGCCGCAGGACCGGCCGCGCGGGGCTACGCGGAGACCAGGAGGACTTGCCGTTGCACTGGGAGCGGGTCTCGTTTTCGGTCGCTGACGGCAGGAAGCTAAGGCAACTCAAGCCCCGGGGTGCAAGTTTGCTTAGCGATTAGGTGGCACAACGAGAACGTCACACCGACTCCGAGGGAGCCAAACAGATCAGTTCCGAAACTCACACCAAGCTGTCAGTTCGTCCCGGTTGGCGAATTAGCACGGTGAGACAGGCAAGCAGAACCAAGAGCCTCCGGAGCTGAGCCCCAAAGCCCGTCATGCCACACTCGGTGGTGCCACGGAGGATTAGGAGCCCCGGCTTCATGCGAGCGCCCCGCGAGGCCGCGCGAGCGGCCGCTCGAACGCAAGCACACACCTTTGGGCGGCCGCTGGCGGGCCGGCGCCGCGGCGCCCGCCTGCTTGGCTCCCTCGCGCTCCGCGGCGGCGGCCCCGGCCGCGCCTCGCGCCTTCGTGGGTCTCATGTAGCCTCTGAGCTGCTCTCTGCCTTTCGCTCGGTCTTCTTTCTGCGCCCCCTTCGCCGTTTGCTCCTCCGGTTCCTCCTCCTCCTCTTTCGGGGCGTCCTGGGGTTTAGCGGCTGCGACGCCCTCCGGGAGAGCCCGGCCAGGGCGAGCGGCGTGGGCGAGCTCGCAGCCACCGTCACCCGGCACTTCGCGGCTCATCCGCGCCGGCTGGGCAGCGAGCGCATCCACAGCAGCGCCTGCCTTGTCACCCAACCCGGCGGCCTCCTGGGACGAGCCTGGGTGGCCCTGCCCGTCGCCGGGCCGCTCCGTCTCTCCGGCACTGCTCCCCAACGGCACCGGGATGTCGGCAGATCCGCAGGTCGCGTCCCTCTCCATGGCAGAGGCCGTTTCTTCCGTTGTCACCGTCCCGCTCACCGTGCCCGTCGCGGCCCGCGGCGGCACCGAGGAGCAGCCAGGGTCCTGCCTCTCCTCCGCGACCCTTGTGTCCTCACTGCCCTCCTTCATCCCAGCGGAAAGGGGACCAACATCCTGGTTTGACTTGGTGTCCTCACCGCCCTCCTTCACGCTGGTGGAACGGGGAGCTCCATCCTGGTTTGACTTGGTGTCCCCATCGCCCTCCTTCACCCCGGTGGAAAGGAGACCAACATCCTGGTTTGACTTGGTGTCCCCATCGCCCTCCTTCACCCCGGTGGAAAGGGGACCAACATCCTGGTTTGACTTGGTGTCCCCATCGCCCTCCTTCACCCTGGCAGAACGGGGAGCTCCATCCTGGTTTGACTCGGTGTCCTCTTGCACGGAGGGCTCCATGGAGGGCTGCTCGCCCGTGTCCCTGTGCTCCCGGGAAGCCGCCTCCCTGGCGCTATCCTCCTCCTTCACCTCGGCACGGCCCGGGTGCTGCTCCTGTCTCCCCTTGGGCATCTCCCGCAGGGCGCCAGCCGCCGGCCCTGCTCCATACGCAGGGAGTCCCTCATCTCCCGCCGCCTCTCCCGCTCCCACCGGGAAACCGGGAGCCGCCCGGCCGGCTCCGCCGGGGCCCAGGCTGCACACGTTGCTGTTCTCATCCACGAAGGCCATTTCTATGGCCCCGCCAAGCGGCCCCGACGCCGCCTGCTCTTCCCTCCCGCTTGCTTTGGCCTCTGCAGCCACGGGCTCCTCAGAGGCCCCTTTGGCTTCTTGACTTCTCCCCTCGCTCCCTTTCTTTTCAGATCTCCCGAGCTCCGGGACCGGGCTGTCCTCGGAGCGCCGAGGGGACAGTCCAGGGCCACTTGTGGCCGCGCCGGGCGCGGGGCCGGCAGCTGGTCCGGCGGCGGGCAGCGCTCCGGCCGCGCCAGGCTCCACGAGGAATGCTGGCTCCGGGGCGCCCGGCGTCTCCTCACGCTCCTCCCCATCACGCGTGCCCGCTGTTCCCGGCTCCGCGGGCGCAGCAGGACCCTGCCCGCTCCCTGCCGCGGGGAAACGGCTCCCTTGGCCGCTACCGGGAGCCCGAGCGGTCGCAGGCACTCCGGCCGCGGGGCTTTGGGCCGGCGCCGCTGCACCAGGCTGCTCCTTTTCAGCCTTTCTGCCCTTCACGTCTCTGCCTTTCTTCTTAGGCCTGCTCTCCGGGACTGCCTCTGAGGGACTAACGACCCCCTCCTTTCCCTTATCCGTGGGCCAGGTCTCTCCGGTTTGGACCGTTCCTGCCTTTGCCGTCTCCGTTTCCTGAGCTGCGAGAAGCTGCTGACGGGAGCAGCTTTGGCTCTCGCCGCCCTGTCCTTCAGGCCTTCCCACCAGCTCCCTGGTTTCACCTGCCTGCCCCTCCAGCGAGGGCTCTCCTCCAAAACCAGACCCTTCGTGGCCACCAAAGCCCACTTCTTTGGTCCTTCCAGCCACCTCCTTGCTCAGAAGAGGACTCGCTTCCGCCCTGCTCTCCAGCGCGGCCGCCTGCCCCAAGGGAGGCTTCTCGTTCTTCCTCCTCCCATCACTGCTCCTCTTCCTCGGCTTCTCTGCCAACGTGGCACCAAACTCCGCCACAGCCGAGTCCCCTGGGCGGGGAAAGGCAGCCTCCCTGCCTCTATCCATGGCCTCTGCCTCCTTGCTTTTGCTGGCGGCCTCGGGTTGTGTCATCCGAGGCTCTTGGCCTCCGCCAACGCCCTGGGCCACCCGTCCCCTGTCCCCCGTGCCGGCCGCCTCCGAAGCGCTCTCCTGAGGACGCTCGGCAGACACCCAGCCGCGCTCGCCGCCCCGCGGCTCCCTGGGCTTCTCGGTCGTCTCGGCAGCGCTGCCCGCCTCCCTCTTGCCCTCCGAAAGGAGAGGCTGCTGGAAAACGCTTCTCTCGCCCTTCTTGCTTCTCCCATCGCTCCCTCTCTTCTTCGCCTTATCCGCTCTCGGAGCGGAGCCCTGTGCGGAGGCTGCCGACGGATGCGCTCCGGCGGCCGCGCCGTTCTCCTTGCCCTGCTCGGGGAAAGGCACTTCTCTTATCGGCTCGTCCAGCCTCCACTCCCCGGCAGCTTTCGCATCCTCCGGGACAGGCACCTGCTCCGGGAAATTCCTCATTTTCCTCACTTTCCCCTCACCACGCCTCTTTTTCGGCTTGTCCAGCCCCGGCGCAAGGCCGGCGTCCTTTGAGAACTGATGCTCTGGTGCAATAAACGCAGGGCCGGGGGCCGCTTCGGCAGCACTGGGACATTCGGTGGCATCGGATTTAGCCGCCGCGAGCAGCGTCTGCTCCGAAGAACCGCCGGCCTTTCCGCTTCCCAAAGGAATAACCTCTCCGGGCGCTGACCCCACCAACGGGGTAGGAGCAAGCGTGCCCGGCGCGGCCTTCGACGCTCCGAGGTTGGCCTCGCTGCTCTTACCGGGCGACACCGCTTTAGCTTTGTCCGCCGCGTTGGGCTCGGAGGGCAGCCTGTCTAGCGGGGCCCCCAACTCGAGATCGGGCTCTTTGAAGGACTCATTCTCAGCCTCTTTGCTCTTCTCATCACCCCTCTTCTTTGCTTCTTTCTCCAGGAAGCCACTGGAGGTGGGGAGCCCAGTGGGGCCAGTCTCACCGCCCGGTTTGTGCTTGCGAGAGGTGCTCTTGGCCTCCTTCCCTCTACCAGAAAGGGGGGTTTCTGCAGCGCTGGCCTTCAGAGGGGCCTCTCCTTTGCTCAGATCGGCCTCTTCCGCAGGAGAAGCCTTTGGCACCGAGCAGCCCGCCTCCTTGTCCACCCTCTTCTCGTTTCCATCAAGGTGATTCATTTTGCCAGGCTGGGTGGGCACCTTTGCAGTACCAGGCTCCCCCACCTTCGTCTTCTCCGCCTTGTCCCTGGGCTCCACGGGAAGCTGCTTCATTTTCCCGTTACACTGTGACATCCAACCGTCCCCTCTCGCGTCCTCCGCGTTTGCGAAGCCTCCGTTTCTCGCATCCAGCAGAGACGCAACGAGCAGGTCGGGTTTGGGGCGCTGCTCCCCGGGCGCTGCCGCTCGGAAGACATCTGCACCACCCAAGATCAGCCTTCCAGCTGCTCCTTCAGCATCCTTTGCCGCATCCAAAGCTCCATTTCCTTGGGCAAGCGGCCGCTCCTGGCGAGCTTCAGCGGGCAGGACGGGAGGCAAATCCGCCTTCTGCAGTCCGAAAGCAAACGGACAAGTTTTGGGAGCCTGGGAGAGACTCTCCTCCCAAAACCCTGCCGCTCTCGGCTGCTGATTCCTCTTTTGTTTCGGCTTCTTCTTCTTCTTCTTCACGCCGACGGAGGAGCCGTCCAAACCCCAGCTCTCCCTCGGCCCCTCTCCGTAGCTCTCCGCCGGCTCCGGCGGCTCCGCTGCCCTTTGGTGGGGAACCCTAGAGCGCGGGGCCGCTGCGGAAGGGGCCTCTACCTTGGAGGCAGGACTCTTCTGGCGCGGGAGGCCCGCGCGCCCGGGCGCAGCGTCCGCGCTGCCCGCCCTGCGGCCGCTCGCGTGGGGCGCGGGCCCGCCCTGCGCGCCACGGGGACCTGGAATACAGGAAGCCTGCTCAAACATCAAAGCAACGACTTGCCTCGCAGAAAAAAATACAGAAATCAAGAAACAGGAAGGGATTTTAGCTCACGAGAGCGGTCCGTCAAATCCTAAATAGCTCAGAATTGGCAGCCCTGATGCTGCGCTGGCTCTAAAGCCACCTCAGCAGTGCTGGGAGAGAAAATGACACACGGAGACCTATTTAAACCCTGCCGAGAAATAAGGCAGCGTTATTAAAGCTCATTTCTGATACATGCTCTAACCCTACCAGAAAGCAACTGTTCTTGTGAGGACACATTATCTGTTTTCATAAAGCATTAAGGACCCATTTTGCCTGAGCAAGACAGGATAACAGATGCACTTTTTCTTTTTTTTTTTTTTCCATAATCCCTTTGCTTTGGCTGCTTTCCAAACGGAGAAAACGGGAGTTTAGCGTAAGGATGAGACTAGGGAAGAGGGGCCGGGTGCAATGGGGGTGAGAGCAACGTGCCCCTCGGCACCCCCAGGGCAGAGCCCGCCTGGCAGGAGGGCATGGGCAGTAGCCAAAGGCCACTGGTTTGACCGAGAGCATCAGTCACCCGGGGGTTAGGCCTGGCCCAAAAATCAGCCTCCCCTCGCACACATAAGCACTAAGAGCTCACGGGAGACGCTGGGGTAGTGGAGCGGGAAGGCAATTACGCTTCCCTTTGGTAATTATGGGGCTCCGTTTGGAAGGAGGGCTTCGCTAAGAATATTTTAAACAGAATTGATGGTCCTTTTTAATATAAAAAAAACCCTATACAGTAAATGGCTAAAAAAAAAAAAAAAAAGATGTTCGAGATTTTAAGCTCTTCAGCGGAAAGATATTGAGGTTGTAAATGCTACAGCGGAAAAGATAAGCCCATAGTAGTGCCTATATTTGGACTTTTAGTCCAGTTAAAGGGGGGAGGGAAGCACGTTTGAAAGGGCAGGGATCAGAGGCAAAGTGCAAGCAGAATCCCTGTGATGGATGCAAGGTAGAGCACAGCGACTCGGTGCAAAGGAGATTTTTGCTTGCTCAGGAGGCAGCGCAGTCAAGGAGGACAAGGTGAACTGCTCCCAGGGGCTATTCCCACTCCACGGCTCGCTTATGATCTATGTTCTACCTGTGCTCTCTTGCAGGGGCTGCTCTTGTCGGGGTTCTGCGTGGGGGATGTGGTTGTGTTCAGCCTCCTCCTTTGGTTTCTCTGTAATGGGAAGAGCCGCAGAAACAGCAGGGTTTTCGGGAAGGAGCTCCTGGTTTTCTAGTGCTGGGGCTTCTTTTGCTTCTACAGGAGCTGAACACAAACATGGAAGGGAATAAATAGAAGAATAAATTATTATATTATTATATAAATAGTAGAATAAAGAATAAATAGAATACTTTAGGTCTCATAAACACAGGAAAACGGTACTTTGGGAGGAAGCTTTGAGAGAGCACAGACTGCTTAGGCTTTGTTTCAGACTAAGCCTGGCTCTGGCAAGCTAAAGCAGCTCCCGTTCCTCACCTGCTGCTTCCAGAAGATGGTCTGTGGTTCCTGGAGGCTGCTCTGCTCCATGCCTGGGAGAGGATCCCTCGCCTTTGGCTTCCTCTACGGGCAGCTCAGCACCAGCTTCGGGCACCTTGCACTCGTGCTCCGTGTTTGCAGTCGCTTCTGGAAACAAAGTGCAACGAACAGAACGTCACGTAACTTTTAATTTAGATCAGACTAGGCCAGATAAGACCCCTTCTTTACCCAATCCATCTCTTCCACAGCAAATTAGAGGTCTCTCACTTTCCTAAGCGGGATAACCTGCTGTTGAGGAGCGCTGTCTACATCCTACATCTTTGAGCTACTGCATAGGGATCCCTCTCTTTTTTTATGTTAAAGTTCCTCTCCTTTGAAGTTCATTCCTACCATTAAAAGAAACAGTACTAGAAGGTAGGAGGAAATGAAATCTCACTGCTCATCTTTCTGCAACATTCTGGGTCTCCCTAGGACTCGCTGTTATATTTTGACTGTTCCCCTTTATCAGCGAGTCCCTCTCAAGATATCCATGTAGGGCAGAAAATCCCTTGTCCCCCGCAAGGGAAATCAAGTGCCTGCCTCCCCCATGGACCTCACAGTTGTTCTCAGGAGGTGACATGAGGTGACCCAAGCCCATCAGGCTGCTCAGGGACTGTTTTCAGATAAGAATATTGCATACATTCAGGATATAAGGGGAAAAAATGACACAGGAAGAAACGCTGCCAGGGATGGACGGAAAGGTGTCTATGTTCGCCCTTAAAGCACAGAGCTCCAAAGAACGCCAGGTCCTAAAAACAGGCTTATTGAACTTATTTGGGCTCTGTGTTGACAAGTGAAGCAGTTGCTCTGCTTGGGCCACCACGGCAGAGCTGAGCCCTCCTCGGGGCGTTCAGCACGTGGCCACCTCGGCAGCCTGACGAAAGCCTTTACTCAAGCCTTGTTTGGGGAGCGCCACGAGCACCACGGGCTGCCCAGGCATCGCTGCCAGCGCGGGGCAGCCGGGCACTGCCCCGCACACCCTTCGCTGCAGTGCAAGCAAAGCCCATCACCTGCTGGGGTCTTCTCCAGAGGAGGCCTGTCCCGCTCCGCGGCGGGCTCCGACGTCGTCAGCTCTTCGCACGCGGCCGCCGCCACGGGGACGGGCGCGAAGGCGGCGGCCACGGCAGGAGGAGCCTTGGCTTCTGCTGCGGGGGCAAACGCGGGGTCCGCGCCGTGATGGTCGGCTTCTGCTGCAGGGGCAGACTCCAAAGCCACGGCGTGGGCAGCTGTGGTACCTGCTGCTGGGGCAAACGCCACGTCCAGGGCGTGATGGGGCACAGCGTCTGCGGCTGGGGCAAAGCCTGCACCTTCCGCCGCGGAGAACTCCAAATCCACAGCGTGCTGGCACTCGGGATCTGCTGCTGCCGGGGCAAACTCCAGCCCCACAGCATGAGGAGACTGGGGATCTGCTGCTGCCGGGGCAAATTCCAGCCCCACAGCATGAGGAGACTCGGGATTTGCTGCCTCCGGGGCAAATTCCAGCCCCACAGCATGAGGAGACTCGAGATTTGCTGCCTCCGGGGCAAATTCCAGCCCCACAGCATGAGGAGACTTGGGATCCCCTGCCGCTGGGGCAAATTCCAGCCCCACGGCATGAGGAAACGGGGGATCTGCTGCTGCTGGGGCAAATTCCAGCCCCACAGCATGAGGAGACTTGGGATTTGCTGCCTCTGGGGCAAATTCCAGCCCCACGGCATGAGGAGACTTGGGATCTGCTGCTGCGGGGGCAAACTCCAGCCCCATGGCATAAGGAGACTGGGGATCCGCTGCCGGGGCCAAGGCAGCATCTGCCCCGAGGGCAAATGCAGCGTCGGCAGCGTGAGGAGCCCCGTCCCACGCGGCAGGAGCGCAGGCACCGGCCGCGGCGTGGGCAGCGAGGACTTCTGCTGCAGGGCTGCTCTCAGTGGCCGCGGCCGCGGGAGGCTCCGCAGCCCCCATGAGAAGGGAGCCAGCTTCTTCCGCAGGCACGGACACGGCGTCCGGCGCAGGAACACCCCCAGCGTCCGCTGCTGAAACACAAGAACGGAGAGCAACTCAAATACTTGGCATTGGGTCTTAGAAATGGAGGAGAAAGGGCCTTCCTCCCAGCCCGTCCTTCAGCAGCCCTTTATCCGACGCCAGGGAAGTCAGTGGTCACGACACATACTCCTCAGCACTGATTTTGTCAGATCTGAAGCCCTTAAAGGAGTCATTGGAGGCAGCTTTAGTCCAAGCTTTCAGCTGTCAAGAGGGAGGGATTTTGTGAGCGATCGGCCACGAGCAGCACCACGTTTCCCTTCAGCTCGGATAGCTCCAAGGCCGGGCAGCGCGGTGCGCGCAGCGGCTCGCGCATCACGCTGAGCAGGCAGCAGAGCCCAACCTGCTGCTCAGCACGGGTCACGCTGCAAAACGGCTCCCCAGCTTACACAAGGGACAGGGCTGCATTCAAAGTGAGATATTAAACTACCTGAAAGAAAAGAAAGGGGGAAAAGAGGCTGCAGCCTCTCCCAGTGCAGCCGGGGCCAAAGCAGGAGGCAGCGGCGCTGCGGGGCTCGCGGGGACACGCGGCCCCTCTGCCCCGGGCACTGCGGAGGCCACACGCGGAGGCCTCCTGAGGCACACGGAGAGGCCTCCAGCAAGGAGCTGCAGCCTGCGGAGCGGCTGCGGAGCGAGGCACCCTGCCCGGGTGCTGCTCTCTGGGGTGAGCACGGAAAGATCCCCCCGTTCGCAGCCCACAGGGATGTAAATCCACGGAGCTGCTGATATTCCTGATCTGCAGCAGATTCATTTGTGCAAGACCCAAGGTAACGCGTGTGTTCCGAGCAAAGCACTGCCAGAAGGAAGCTGAACAACATCTAGCAACGAAGCATCACGGTTCCAGCCTGAGCTTTCGCTAGAGCCACCAGCTCCAGAGCCAGCCCCATCTCAAGGCAGCGACAAATTCCCCTCTTCCTGCCTCGTTCACCGAGATCAGCAACGCTGATGCTGCTGCGGATCAAACACCATGGCATACAAGCAGCTGCAGCAGCGTTATGCCCTTCGTGCAGCTTCGAAAGGGTCAGCTGTAACCCGTGTTTAAAGATAATTGGGCAGTGTATACAGCTTTGTAATTATAATTTAATTCAAAATACTGTTGATTATGCATGAGAGCAAATGGTTGCTGTTGCCTCAGCTGCACTGACCCGTGGAAAGGGCAAGCGCAAGGGATGCGACTTCCCCCTGAAATCAGCAGATCTGTCTCTCAGCGTGCACAAAGACAGGAGCAATGCAGACAGGAGCAATAAAGCTCGGGTTTTACAGAGCTCCTTTGCAAGCGTAGATCCCATCCGTGTCAATTATGATTTCAGTGTCAAGGAACAGCTGAGCACACGTCCCAGGGGGACACTGGGGCACCAAAGCCTGCGCGGGATGGAAAGGCAATCCAGAATCCATGATGCTGGTGGCTGAATGTGGATTTTTTTTTGCACACCTCAGCACTGGCCACATTCCCTCCATCCAGCCCATGGAAGGGCGGGTTTTCCAGTGGGTTAAGGCCCAGGTTGCAGGATATGTCCCCAAAAGAACACACTGCTACTGATGGCTGGGCTTGGAGCCGCGCGCGGCTGTCACACCAAGGACATGCAGCTACTTTTCCTGGAGGAATGTGCTATTTTGAGAGAGCTTTGAAGTACTGACAGTGTCACCATTAAATCTGTTATCCTTAATCCGAAGGCAACAGTTTACACAAATTCCTCCCTCCTATAACACACACTTGATGCTTAATTAACACCCTATGGATCATCCCTCTAAAGCAGACGTTTCTATGAGAATCAGATCACTCGGAGAGTGTCTTTGGTTTCTTGAAGAGGGAGAGGAGGACAGAGCCTGCTCCTGGTGCTCGGGAAGCCTCCAGCAAGCCCTTACCTGGCGGCTCGGCAAAGAAGGCGGCGCCTGGTCCCGCCGCAGCGTGCGGAGCTCCCGGCCAGGCTCCTCCGGGCACTAGGGGAAACACACACGGTCAGTCCAGCCGCTCGGAGCCTCCGCGGCTCCCCGAGTGCATCCGCGCTCCAGGCATCGCCCCGGCTGCTCTGCGGCTCCATCTTTGGGTAACTTAGCAGTGAACTTGCAAACTGGCCCCAAAACGGGTTCTTCTGGGATTAGGGTTGGCAAAAGCTGCAACCAGCACTTAGGCCAGGACCAACACAGCAGCTTCCCTGCTCTACAGCGTATTCATTTCCTACTCAGCTACTTTTCTCCTTTCAGGAAATTCATGTTGATTAAGAACACGTCACTTCCAAAAGGATATTTCCCAATCTTGACTCATTTCATGGAATAACCCCGCTCTGGAACGGTTCTTTGGACTAAGGCACCAGGCCTTTCCACCTGCCCAGCAGACCACAGGACAGGGGCAGCCCCTCATTCCTCACCTGCTGTGTCCTGCAGATACTCTGCAGCTGAATCCAGGCCAATAAAAGCTGACGGATCTAGAACTTCTGCAGGAGAATATGGGGGCCCCAGGAAAGCTTGGTCAGGTACCATCATAGATGCATGTGCTGACAAAGAAGGAAAAAGCCGTTTGTCAGTCACCCTGCTAGCCTTAAAAGACTCCCCTCCAAATCCAGAACATCCTGGGAAAATTAACTATTCTGCTCCCACACAGTTTACACAAAGTTTGCAAATAAATCTACTAGTTTACCTTCAAAAATTGCACCCAGGGTAATTAGTAACAAGGTATAAGAGAATAACCACAGGGAAATGATTTCCCTTTTGATACTCCTTCTTCTCCCATGAATTCTGGATTTTTTGTCTTCATCAGCCCAAATGCTGAAGGCCACTTTATGGAAATACGTCCTGTGCTCTTGTTTCTAGCCAGAGGGACAAGAGCCACCTTTAACTCCAGCTTTGTTTTGGCTTTTCTGGATGTCCTGTCTTCCTACTTGAACTAAATATACTTCAAACAAATCTATTCAATGTCTTTAGGTGTAAAAATGCCATAAGAAGAGAATCCACAGTCTGTGCTCTTCTCAGCTTTGAGTTTTCCCGCAAAGTCACTTGAGAACATGCTGAAAACTGAGCGCTGGGGAGGAGCTCACCGTGGATGTCCCTGGAAAGGTCCGCGTGGCCCGCGAACATCGGCACGTGCTGCATGTCGGTGGGAAAGGCCAGCTCGGGCAGGTTGTCCCCTCGGTGCATGCTGAAGGGGTCTGGTGGACGAGACAAGGTCTGGGTTAGCACATCGGAGGCAGAGTGGTGCAGAGCAAGGTGATTTAGAAAGCAATGACACAGCTGACACCAGCACCACTGGCGCAGGTGGGTTATTGGGTCATATCAAGCTCACTATCTGAGGGGCAGACAACAAAATCCCCAAGGTTTCCCACACCTCGGGATCAGGGGAGCTCCAGGAATGCCCTGCCAGGCTACCAGGCTGTCTGAAGTGCTAGGACAAAGTCCTGCTTCAGTGTGAACAGCAGAAACGTTAATTCCAGGTTGTTTCAAGCCATACAACCATGACCAAATAACCATGTCCAATTTCCCTGGAGAGGGAAATCATCCTCGTTTGCCCAGGAGCGTAAATGGAAGAGCGGCCCAGGGCCTACAGGACTCCGCAGTCCCTCCCTCCGCCTCTGCCACCAATCCTTAAGGGTCGTCAATCCCTCCGTGAGCTCCGTGAACCTACTGATCCCTGAGGAGCAGCCAGCGCTCGCTCCAAGGGACACTTCTACACCAACATAGACACTCCATACATTGCATCTTGCACACACGCACGGTGACAAGGCAGGGGCTTTTCCGCAACGGGTGACGCCGGATTCCCTCCACGCAGGCCGGGAGCATCCCGGGCAGAGGCGCGGGGACAGAAACTCCCTTGTCCCGCCGTGTTACCCAGCCCTTCGCTCAAGGGCTAAGCTTTTCCGCGGCGTACCGGGCATCTCGGCGGGCTTGAACACGGGCTGCGGCTCGAAGCACAGGTCCCTGTCACCCATCGCGGAGGGGGCGCTGCGCGCAAAGAACTCCTCGTAGGACAGGCTTTCGTCCATCATTCCTCCCGGGAAGGCTGGAATCAAAGAGCGACACAGTCAAAGGGAGGCAGGAAGCTCTAAAACCTCCAAGTTTATAACTGTGACCTTCCGAAGGGGACAGGGCACCGGCATGGGGCTGCAGCCCACGGGCGTTCCGTGCTCTGATCCAAACCCTCCACGAGGAGGAACAGAACCTGCAGCTGCCTGGCAGGGCAGGACGGGGCATCCGGGGCTGCCCTCCCTCTTCCCGAGGGCTGCCCGAGCCCTGGGAGCAGCCTCCGGAGCGAGCGGCACCGTTCGGGAAGAGCCCTGGGACCGGGAGCTGTGAAGGCAACCGCAGAGGCCAAACGCAGCCCTGACCTCCCTGCCTCCACCCTGGCCTCCCCATGCGGGTTCCCCAAGCCCTGGCGAGGAGGAGGGACGGGGAAGATGAGGAAGGAGCCGCGTCCCGGCTCCCTGGTTCCCACTCTGCCCCTTCCTTCGCGTCTCTCCTCGCACCGGGGCGCCCCGGGGCTGCAGCAAGGGCAGAAACTCAAGCCCTGAAGCCTCCGAACCCGCAGAGCCTCCCGCTCCCGCAGCTGAATCGGCTGTTCCGAGGAGGCCTGAATCTGCCAGCTCCGATATCAGTAACATCAGACTTCCAAATCGCTTCCCACTTTCTTCCAGAGAGAAATAATGAATTCAAACTCCTCTTATCCCCCACCAGAATATTCAACGCGTTGGCCACTCAGTCTCTTCATGCTTTTCATATTTCACCTTTCATGATAACGATGCCACGGAACCTGCCCGGGAAGCCGCGATCCAGCCCAGTCCACCACACGCTCCCATCCATGCTTGCCTCGGAGCGCGTTCCGGAGCGTGGGAATGGGATCCAGCGGTTGGGAATGGGAAAGCTCCCCCCAGCAAAGCCTCCGTGCCACGGCGGCCTCGCTCGGGAGCAGCGGGCAGCAGGAGCGGGCAGCGGGAGGCACCTTCTCCCTCTTTGTGCCCTTCTCCCAGTTTGCACAGGCAGGAGGGCACCCGGCTCGCCCGGCACTGGGCACCCGGGTATAAAGAAAGAGGAAACAAGAACAAGGAGGACAAAGCCTCCAAAAGGTCCTTCCCCGCAACTCAAGCCCCGTGCCCGCCAGGAGGTCGGGCGGCGGCACACGGGCGCTCCGGCCTCGGGAAGCGCCTCCGGATCCGCTTGCCGCTTTGCCCAGGGCGTTCCTGCCCCGAGTCAAGCCTGCTCAGGGTAAAAGCGCAGCCCGTCGTGCCCCGTCACGATGCCGTTTGCTGGTACAAACCTGCCCAAGCAGCAGAGCCTTCCAAGGCCAAGGAGGGCTGTGGCTTTGGGTCTGGTCCCTGCGCCTACGGTGCACACGGACGCGTGGACGCGCACGGAGCTCGCTGCGTACCCCGGGCACGGGCGGGTTCTTCTGGCGCTCGGGATGGAAGGGAAAAACAGGAGACCCCAAAGGAGCAGGGGGCAAACCCAAGCACCCGTGCCCATCGGTCTGAGCTTCTGCAGGAGAAGGTGGAGGAAACGGAGCCCATGAGGGGAAGGACAATCTGCCGCGCCGCCTGCTTGCACCTTGGCACAGGGCCACCGGCCGCCCGACCGCGAGCCGAGCTTGCGCCAAGCTCGCGTGCCGACAGCTTGTGTTAAACTCGGCTTAGAGCTTTGAACTGAGAACCAAGCCGTGTCAAAAGCTGAAAGGCGCCGTGTTCACACATGCTCCGAGGGCTGTTCCGCAGAGAGCGCTGACAAGGAGCGCTGTTGCACGTGCTGACTCCTCGCGGGAGGGAGGGAGGGAACCGGCTGCTGCTTCCAGAGGCCGAACTGTGGGGAACTGCGGCTCAAATCCAACCTGCCTGATCCTCTCGGCACGTGAGGACCGGGAAGACGAGGACCAGGCGCGAGTGCAGGGCTGCAGGAGGCTGCGGGAGTGTCACAAAGGGCCAGCGCTTGGAGCCACACTGGATGCTCTCCTGCTTGGGAGGCTCTGCGTGCGGCAGCGTCCGGAGCGCTTGGAGCCACTGCTCCAATCCCCAAGGATCCCCAAGGATCCCCGGAGCTGGGTTTTACTTTGCTTTCCACGAGGTTTATTTCCACAGGGTTTATTTCCACGGGGTTTATTTCCACGGGGTTTATTTCCTCGGGGCCGTCATGGACCCCGATAAACACTGCAGCTCCGTTGCTTCCAGCCGAGCAGCCCTTGGGAGCCAGGAGCTGCTGGGCTAGCGGGGAGCGCAGCCGCCCGCTGGGGCTCCCGGGAGGAGGAGGAGGAGGAGGAGGAAGGCAGGTGCCCGTTGGAGGGACAGCAGCAGGACACGGGAGCCGGCACGGAGCTGCTCCCCGGCACGCGCAGCCGCCGCCAAGCCCTAACGGCCCTGGAATGGCACCCGGGATGCCTCGGGAATGGGTGCGGAGCCGCTGCTCCGAGGCTGCCCAGCCAGGAGCCCAGCGCCCTGCGTGTGTCTGTGGACGCGGTGCCCGCGCGGCGCCGCTCAGCTCGGTGCCGCGCCGCCCGCGCCGCCCACGCCGCCGTCCGCCCGCGTTACCGTCACACACAACTGGAGCGGAAGGACGGCGGCCCCGCGCCGCGCTCCCGGCCGCGCCACGCGCTCCCTCACGGATCTGCTTCCCGACAGATTCACCTTAACATCTCCAGAGCCCGTGAGCTCCCAGCCCTCCTCCCTGTCGGCTGGGCCTCCGCCTGCCTAAACCCAGCCAGGTCTGGCCTTAACTGCGTTAAATCCCCGGCTCCCGCAACGGCCCCGGCTCCTGCAACGGCTCCGGCTCCTGCGATGGCCCCGAATCTCTTGCTACCCATCCCAGCTGCGACTCGGAAGGCACCGAGAGCACCAGCAATGTGTAGCAGTGCATAGCAGTGTATAGGAATGTATAGGAATGTATAGGAAGGTATAGGAAGGTATAGGAAGAGGTGCAGTGCCAGCGTGTGCCAAAGTGAACGCTGCCGCCCGCCCGCTGCAGACTGGCGCGACGCCGCGGTGCTGCTGACCCCACATCTCCTCCGGACTGGCCTCCGCTGGCACTGCCCCGCGCGGATGGGACAAGGGGCGCCGGGAAGGGCGCTCGGCCCCGCGCCCGCTGGTGCCACCCCGCACAGCAAGGACAAGGGGCGCCGGGAAGGGCGCTCGGCCCCGCGCCCGCTGGTGCCACCCAACACAGCAAGGACAAGGGGTGCCGGGAAGGGCGCTGGGAAGGGCGCTGGCGCCACCCAGCACAACAAGGACAATGGGCACCGGGAAGGGCGCTGGTGCCGTCCAGCACAAGGACAAGGGGCACTGGGAAGGGCGCTGGTGCCGCCCCGCCCAGCACAAGGACAAGGGGTGCCGGGAAGGGCGCTGGTGCCACCCAGCACAAGGACAAGGGGCGCTGGGAAGGGCGCTGGTGCCGCCCAGCACAAGGATAAGGGGCGCCAGGAAGGGCGCTGGTGCCGCCCAGCACAAGGACAAGGGGCGCTGGGAAGGGCGCTGGTGCCACCAGCACAAGGACAAGGGGCGCCAGGAAGGGCGCTGGTGCCGCCCCGCCCAGCACAAGGACAAGGGGCGCTGGGAAGGGCGCTGGTGCCACCCAGCACAACAAGGACAAGGGGCGCCAGGAAGGGCGCTGGTGCCACCCAGCACAACAAGGACAAGGGGCGCCAGGAAGGGCGCTGGTGCCACCCAGCACAACAAGGACAAGGGGCACTGGGAAGGGCGCTGGTGCCACCCAGCACAAGGATAAGGGGCGCCGGGAAGGGCGCTGGTGCCGCCCCGCACAAGGACAAGGGGCGCCGGGAAGGGCGCTGGTGCCACCCAGCACAAGGACAAGGGGCACTGGGAAGGGCGCTGGTGCTGCCCAGCACAAGGATAAGGGGCGCCGGGAAGGGCGCTGGTGCCGCCCAGCACAAGGACAAGGGGCGCCGGGAAGGGCGCTGGTGCCACCCAGCACAAGGACAAGGGGCGCCGGGAAGGGCGCTGGTGCCGCCCAGCACAACAAGGACAAGGGGCACTGGGAAGGGCGCTGGTGCCACCAGCACAAGGACAAGGGGCGCCAGGAAGGGCGCTGGTGCCGCCCCGCACAAGGATAAGGGGCGCCAGGAAGGGCGCTGGTGCCGCCCAGCACAAGGACAAGGGGCGCTGGGAAGGGCGCTGGTGCCACCCAGCACAACAAGGACAAGGGGCGCCGGGAAGGGCGCTGGTGCCGCCCCGCGCAGCCGGGCGCCGCGGGCCGCCGCTCGCGCGCCGCACTGACCCACTTTCGCTCCTCCAGCGCTCGGCAGAGGCGGCGGACGCACAAGCGGCGGCGGCGAGCTGGCTTTCCCGGCTGTTCATTCCCACTCGTGTCAAACCAACGACACGGGGCACGGGAGGGCGGGAAGGCACCGGGAGCCTGCGCCGCGTCCCGGGGCGGCTGCTCCTGCGGGATCATCCCCGGTGCCGGAGCCGCCGTGGGCTGGCACGCGCTGCTGGGCACAAACTGCTCCCATATTTACCCGGATTTTATCATTCCAGCCACTCGCCAAGGTATAAATGAGGGCCAAGCCCATAAACCAGCCCAAAATGCTCCAGGTTGGGCCGCTCCGCAGGCGGCGAGTGCCACCCGCGCGTTCATCCTGAGCGAGGGGGCGGCCGGATCAAAGCCGGTGCCCGTCCCCGCCTGCGTGCCGAGCAGCTCCGGCACCTCGCGGGGCTCCTTTGCAACAGGAGACCCCGGGAAGCTGGAATGTTCCCGTTCCGAAACGCCGCCCGTGCTAACGGAGCGGATGCCACCCAAGGGATCCCGCAGGGACAGCACGGAAGAGCTCCCGCACTCCAAGCAGACGTGTCTGTTGGCACGGGGGTAGGTCAGGAAAACTGGAAACGAGAGGAAAGGACACGCAAAAGCAAAGGAGCCGGGAGCACCGGGACGCGCGTGGCGCTTGGTGGCAGTGACACGGGCACCTGCGCGGGGGACACCGCTCCGGGCACCGGGCGCAGCAAGGATCTGCTGTCAGGGGCACCTGGAGCCGCCCTGGATGCACCCGGAGCATCCTGCTCTGGAGCC